AGAGGTTCTACGTGAGGTAGTAAGTGAGACGACGTCAGATTTATAGTCTGAGCTGGATTCGCTTTACATGGCGAAATCTCTGGCGAACACGCTGCGCCTGAAGGAGCGTTTGTACACAATCCGTATGACGGAAGGTACTTCTATTAAATCTCACTTGGATTAATTCAATTCTATTTTATTGGACTTGGAGAATATTGATGTCATAATTGAAGATGAGGATCATGATGTTTTATTGCTTGTCTCTCTCCCTAAATTGTATTGTATGGTAATAGTAGTGATACCCTTACTTTCGACAGTGTTAAGTCAAACCTATTGTCCAAAGAAAAGTTTGAGTTTGAAGTTAAGTCTGAGGACAAAGGTGAAGGCTTGACTGTAAGGGGTCATTCACTTGAAATAGAGAGTAGCAATAAAAAATCTAGATCCAAGTCCAAAGGACGAAAGTCCAACAAATCCTGTGAGTACTGCAAGAATCATGGTCATGATGTGACTGAATGCTTCAAGTTGAAGAATAAGCAAGAGAGAGAAAAGAAGTCCACTGAAGCTAGTGTTGTTGAAAGTGATTCAGAAGGCGATGTTATGTTATCTGTTAGCTCCGATTGTAAATGGAGCGAAACCGAGTGAATTCTGGACTCTGGTTGTACATTCCACATGTGTCCTCACATAGACTGGTTCGTCTCTCTAGAACCGGTTGATGGTGATGTTGTCTTCCTGGGTAATGATACCCAATGCAAGGTTAGCGGAATTGGAAGTGTGTAGATTAAAACTCATGATAACGTTGTCAGGACTTTTATCAATGTTCGGTATATTCCTGATTTGAAACGCAATATGATATCATTGGGCACCTTGGAATATCTGGGGTGCAAGTACATAGCTGAAGGTGGAGTTCTGAAGGTCAGAAAAGGCTCTCTTATTCTCATAAAAGCTTCTCGTTCTAGAAGCTTGTACGTTTTGTATGACAATACTATGATAGGTTCAGTAGCAATATCCTCATTGATGTCTGATGCGGATCTCACTCAATTATGTCATATGCGACTAGGGCATATGAGTGAGAAAGGCATGCATCCCCTGAGCAAGAAAAACCTCCTTGGTGGTTCACGTACGGGTAAATTACAATTTTGTAAGCATTGTGTTTTTGGGAAACAAAAGAGGGTTAGTTTCTCTACTGCTACACACCGTACCAAAGATGTATTGGAATATATACATTCCGATTTATGGGGATTGACCGACTAAATTCCAGTCTATGTGAGGTTGTAGATATTTTATGTCTATTATTGATGACTTCTCTCGTAAAGTCTGGGTCTATTTCCTGAAACATAAAAATCAGACATTTTCTATTTTCAAGAAGTGGAAAATACTTCTTGAGAATAAGACAGGGAAAAAGGTCAAGAAGCTCAGGACATACAATGGCTTGAGTTCTGTGAGTCAGATTTCAATGACTTATGCGCGGCAAATGGAATTGCCAGGCACAAGACCTTGCCGGGTAAACCCCAGCAGAATGGTAATGCCGAATGTATGAACATGACTCTATTAGAGAGAGCTTGTTGTATGCTCTCTAATGTTGGGTTATGGAAACGACGTGATTTTTGGGCCGTTGTCGTTTCTACTGCTTGCTATTTGGTAAATAGATCTCCACATTCATCCCTTGATTTCAAAATTCCAGAGGAAGTTTGGTCAGGTAATCCTATTGACTACTCTATCTTAAGAGTTTTTGGATGTCTTGCATATGCTCATTTCAATACGGGTAAATTAAACCCGAGAGCTGTCAAATGCATTTTCCTTGGTTATGCCTCTGAGTCAAAATGGTATTGTCTATGGTCTCCTGATTCTAAAAAAATCATTCTGAGTCGAGATATCACTTCTGATGAAAATGAACTACTTTCTTCTGGAAAAGTTCCCAGTACAGGTGAGATACAGAGTGCTGGTGAGAAGGTGGAGTTTGAGTTCAGGCCTCTGATGGTAATACTAAAGATGATGCATCTACTAGCATTGCACCTCTCGTCGAGCCACAACGAGAGTATTCCATTGCTATGGATCGTCCTAGGAGGATAATTAAAAAACCTGCTAGGTATGTTAGTGATGATGAAACCAACTTGGTTGCTTATGTTCTTTCAGTCACATAGGAGGTCGATGATGATCCATCCTGCTATTCTAAGGCTTTTCCTATTACTAAGTTCATGCAGTGCTTGAGTTTATTCGACTGTTCGAGTTGTTAATTTCACAATGGATTTGATCCAAGGTGGAGATTGTTAGGGAATAATATTCTGTGCCTCAAATCCTTGCTGAATGTTCTCCCACTATGTCCACGTTGACGCATGCACATGGCCCCTCCGGCACATCGTCACCGAGTTTTGCTCTCAGCTTCTGCATGCCGCAAGTTTCTATTTTCTAGAGTGTATAAATAGCATTGTCATTTTGCATTGTAAATCATCATTATCCACTCATCAATTTACACTCTTGAGTGTATATATATAGACCATTCATCTCGCTTAAATCAACGTTCAGGATTATCAAAATTTAAAAAAAAAAAACGCGGTGACAATTTTGTAATTTTTGCATGTATGTTAAAATTAAGGTGAGCGGATCTGTGATTAATGTGCGTGAGTTTTGTATATAAGATGCAAGAGTTTTGTATATAAGATGCGTGAGTTTTGTGCGTAAGGTGCATGAGGTTATGCTTAATGTGCGTGGGGTTATGTTTAATGTGAGTAGTTGTTAAAACATAAAGTCTGTGAATTAATACTTAAAGTGCGTGGGTTTTGTGCTTAATGTGCGTGAGGTTGTGCTTAATGTGCGTGGGTTTTGTACTTAATTTGCGTGAGTTTGTGCTTAATGTTAGTAGTTGTTAAAACTTAAAGTCTATGAGTTAATATTTAAAGTGCGTGGGTTTTGTGTTTAATGTGCGTGAGGTTGTGCTTAATGTGTGTGGGTTTTGTACTTAATGTGCGTGAGTTTGTGTTTAAGATCTAACACTTAAGGTGCGTGTTTCTATCAGGTGCGCCATTTCTTTCTTCCAGACACGCGTTTTTTTTTTGTTTTGTTTTGTTTTTTTTTTTTTTAATTTTCATTGATTTGAGCCATTTATCTAAATTTGATCAACAGCTCAGATCTAACCGCACAACCGCACGGGAAGCTATACCCGCACCTGAACCCTTCCATATATATATATATATATATATATATATATATATATATATATATATATATATATATATATATATATATATATATATATATATAATTCTAATCAGGTGAGAATAAGTTGTTAGGTGAGATGTGTGGTTGGTTGGTGACCTTTGATCTTAGGCAATCCAATTGTTAGTTTTTACTGTGCATTATGACCTAACCTTTTGCACAGTATTATTATTTGCTGTGTAGATTGGCTTTTTTTATTGCACAGTATTACTAGTGAGGGTATTATCATAATATTGCTATTTTATTTATTGAACGCACCAAAAGCTTAGGGGATTGGCGTTTTCCTAAATTCCCCTCCGGCGACCCCGTTACAGTTCTAGTCCGGGAGGAGTCCTGTGCTTGGTCCCTCTTCCCGAACTACTGGTCATTCATGGTTTCTTCCCATCGTTTTGGTTTCCTCATCTGTTATTGTCGTGCAAAGGGTTCTGATCACGGATGGCGACTGGTTTGTTGTTATTTTCTTTTCTTAATCTTTTTTTTTTTTTGCGATTTCTTTTGGTGCACAGCTACGCTATACGACAAGCTTTCCCCTTTTTTTTGGTGATTTCTTTGGCTGGTGGCGCGTGTAATTTTGAAATTTCATTTCCGATTCTTTCTGATGTTTGCACTGGACGGTGTGTGTGTGTGGGGGGCGGGGGGGGGGGGGGGGGACAATGGGTAATAAATAGTGGGGAATTTTTTTGAAACTGGATTTGAATACGCGTTTATCATAGCTTCTCTATGGGAGCTGGGTGGCAGATGAGATTAAATGGATTAGGTTCGTATATGAATGTCTAATGTTCCCTGATGATTTCTTTAACTTTCCTAATTTTTTATTTGGCGTCGTCCGTTTGCAGTTCACTTTTGGCTTATGATTGGTAGTGCTTTGAAGTAATGGTTCTTCTCCGGTGTTTTTGGATAGAAGTGAACTCAGTTTTGTTTTTTTAAACACTCGGATATATGTAGGAGATCATTAAATTGTTTGCCTTTAACTGGTCTCAATAGGTGAGGTAATTCCTTTTTCCCAGTTATGCTTTTGGTTATTTCAAACCGGAGATTCTCACAGCTTCTCTGTTGAAGTTGTGCACTTTGCATGTGAGGAAGAATTGCCTATGCTTTTTTTTCTCAATTATCCTAATGTCAATACTGCGAAGTTCAACTTATATTTAGGCGGTGATGGCGTAGTGCTGCTTATCGAATAGTGATATATCATTTATTAACTTCTCTTTACAACACGTTGTTGCTAAATTACACGCCTAGCTTATTTTCATTTTTGTTCATAAGGTTATGATTTGATCTCAATCTTTTCCTGGGTAAATGCAAATTCTGAAGGGATTAGTAGCTATGTGTATTAGTACGTAGTAGCACTGTAAAACATTGATGCTTTAGGGGGGTGCACCAAACGTATATCAGAGTGGTATGGCAAAAAAGGATTAGTATTTGGTGTGATGGAAATGGGGAAGTTGTCTGACGCCATTGATTTGTTTGAGTTTGTCATCTTAGTTTATTCTTTCAACTGTGTGGACAAATATAAATACATTCTTTCCACTGGGTATTCCAGCCTTGCGGCCAATCTGCGTATGCTTTCTTCACAATTCACAGAGTTTAAGCTCAAAGGCCTCTTTTTGTATGGGTGGGGGAATTATAGAGCAACAACTAAAACCATGAATTTGTATCTTATTCTTTATGTTGATGGTGCAGTGCTGTTGAACTTCTACTAATATTTCTAGAATTTCTTTTCCTCGATAGCACCGTGTATCTAAATTATACGTATAGTACCCACGTTGTTGTTTTCCTTTTATTTCTCTGCTTTGTCTAAATTTCTAACTTGTCTTATTTTCGTTTTAATTCAGTACGTTATGAGGTGGATTTAAAATCCTTTCCCTATCAAGTCTTTAGCTGTGCAAATATGTTTACTATGTCATCATAGTTTTATTTAATCAAATGTGTGGGCAAATATATTTAATAAAGGATGTGTTGTTTTTTTTTCAATTCTGTTTAAATTGATTTCTAACATGATTTTTTTGTCCGGTGTAGATGATCTTGCTGGTAACATTACTGGTGTGGATGAAGGTTGTCGGCTCGAAAGATCACCTGGGTCATCAAAGTATTGGTGGCCACAATGTGATGATGGGAGTAAGCCAGTCATAGGCCAAACTTTTAAAACTCTAACGGAGGGTGAGAAATTCTATATAGAGTATGCTGCTTTTGTGGGGTTTGATGTTAGGCATGGTTCTGTGAAGAAGGATAAGGGGGGGGGGGGGGGGGGTGGTTTTGAGACTTTTTCTTTGTAATCGCGAGAGATATAAGTCTGACTCGGGTGGCACACCCAATAGGGGGGCGAGGGGGTCACGATGATAGTCGCCCTGTGCCTGTGAAGCGTCGTAGGGTTTCAAATAGGGTGGGGTGTTTAAAACTCTAACGGAGGGTGAGAAATTCTATATAGAGTATGCTGCTTTTGTGGGGTTTGATGTTAGGCATGGTTCTGTGAAGAAGGATAAGGGGGGGGGGGGGGGGGGGGGGTGGTTTTGAGACTTTTTCTTTGTAATCGCGAGAGATATAAGTCTGACTCGGGTGGCACACCCAATAGGGGGGCGAGGGGGTCACGATGATAGTCGCCCTGTGCCTGTGAAGCGTCGTAGGGTTTCAAATAGGGTGGGGTGTAAGGCTATGATCATTTTTAAAAATGGCCAGACCAGGGGGTATTGGGTGTTTCATTTGAGGAGAGGCACACTCATGTGTTGTGTACTCCTATGTCTAGGCAGTTCATGAAAGTGAACCGCAAACTTGATTTTGGACATTAGGCGTTCATGGCTAATTACGCAAAGGCAAACGCGGGGACAAGTCAGGGTGTTAGGATTTTAAAAGAGTTTGTGGGTAGTTATGAAAATGTTGGGGCAACTTGTGTTGATTTCCATAATTCAAAATGCGACCTCCGTGCATATATTGATGGGTGTGATGTGCAGTATTTTCTTGATAAGTTGTCAAGGAAAAATGACAAGTGTGCCGCGTTTTATTATAAACATGACATTGATGAGAATGACCAATTACGACGTGTGTTCTGGGGTGATCTGGTAGCTCGTCGCAACCACACGGTGTTTGGTGACATTGTGTCCTTCGATGCAACGTACTCGACAAATAGGTATGTTTGGAATTACTTTTTTAAGGATTTTGTATCAGGAAAACAAAAATAACCATATAGATTTGATGATGGCAAGGTATAAAAGTGTTGTCCAGTTTAACAGAATTCCATAGTAGTGCAAACTATTGGCTAATAATTGGTAGGGCTTTGAAGAAATGATTATTCACATAATTTATTTGAATAATTTATTTTAAGCACTCTGATATATATATAGAAGTTCAGTAAATTTTCTTCCTATATCTAGTCCCAATAGAAGAGGTAATTCCTTTTCTACATTAATTATATTCGGTATTGAAATCTAGAGATTCTCACGGCTTATCTGTTCAAGCAGTGCAAACTGCGGCTCGACCAGGAACTCAACACCCAATCAATTCATCACCACATGCAACCCATCTAGCACAACACTTTTGCTTTCAAGGGTGCACGCCTCCTGCACACACCACTACCTCGTAATAGCAGGAACCTCTTATTAACTGTGTTCTAATGATCCAGGTACAAAATGATTTTCGTACCCTTCACAGGTGTGGATAACCACAAACGGTGTGTTACTTTTGGTGCCGCGCTGATCACCAAAGAGGATGTCGCATCATATGTTTGGGTGCTCGAGAGTTACAAGGAGGCAATGAGTGATGCTCCATCATGTTTTGTCACAGACCAGGACCCGGTTATGAGGATTGCTCTAGAACAAGTTTACCCAGGTAGTCGGCACCGGTTTTGCATGTGGCATATTATGATGAAGGTAGGTGAAAAGGTTGGCCCGGAGTTGTCTAAGGACGCGGTCTTTCAGGGCAGGCTGAATGCTATTGTTTGGGATGAAATTCAACAGCCCGATGTGTTTGAGACTAGGTGGCAAGTGTTGCTAGGTGAATATGGCTTGTTAGACCATAATTGGTTCACACAATTGTGGGAGACACATCGATATTGGATCCCCGCATATTTCAAGGGTATGCTACTCTATGGGCTAGTTAGAACCACGTCCCGATCTTAGGGTGAGAACAGTTTCTTCGGAAGGTATTTAATCCAGACTGCCAGTTTGGTGGAGTTTCACAGTCACTTTGAATCTGCAGTAGATGCACAACGGCAGATCCATACCACGCTTAATGCGGTGTGCGAAGGACATTTTGCTCCGACAAAAGGACTTGAAAATGGAACGTCTTGCGTTGGCCGTGTACACCGTCACAATTTTCCACGAGGTACAAGCAGAAATTTATGCAGGGTGTTATTCGTGTGGGGTAGTGTCCGTAGAACTTACCGGTGATATCATCAATTATGGCATAAAAGACGGTGACAACCAACAGTACCAGGTTAGGATGGTTGTGCCGCCACATTTTCATAGTCTTCAAAAACAACAACGTAGACAACATCCCATCAAGATACATAGTAGACCGCTGGACACGCAAGGTTTGTTTGCGCGCGGGAATTTCAGATCGATGGCCTTACAATACACTCAAATGTCAACGACGATGAAAGCAAGACTCAGGAGAACAGGATGTGGACAGAGATCTTCGCATGCGTGGGGTTGGCAATTAATAGCTCATAACATGTTGAACGGTTAACCCAAGTGACCCACCAGCTAAAGGATTCTTTTGTAGGGAAACCAATGGCCCGGTAGACCACAAAAAAAATAATCCAATGATTCAAGCATATTGTGGGTCGGTACCGTCTTTGGCAGTGACATTCAAGCCCCCAATTGTTGCAAAAAAATAAAGGTAGTGGAAAAAGATTCAAGGGGAAAAGGGAAAAAGTCATTGAGCAGTCTGTGAAGGGGGTTAGGAAATGTCACGGGTGTAGCAAATACGGGGGACACAATAGTCGCACTTGTGAAGTTCTTCGAGGAACGCGTATGGTGGAAGAGGGGAGGGGGTGGGGGGTGGAGGGGGGGGGGGGAGAAAGCCTTTGAGCAGTCCCGGGACTTGTGATGGCCAAGCACATCTGATGGTGTTGTTAGTTGGATAGTTGCTAGCAATATAATTTTATTTAGATGGGTGCTAGACACTATATAAAAATCATTGTGCTCGTATTTTAAATTGCAATTTTACAGCGATGCACGCAGTACACTATGAACCTCGGTTACTAGTGTAATAAATAAATGTGGGATCTGTACTGGGTGGCTGGGTCCCTTGTAACCTTTTTTTTTTTTTTTTGTGCTTTGTTTTTGTTCATTAAACACCCTCATCAGAATACAAGTGGGTATTAGCTGTGTAACAAAGGCCACTACCCTAGACCACGTGACAGCATTAGATTAATGGCTTAGTGTGGGCTTGGTTTAATGTATCTGGTTACTATGCTTCTTGCTGTAATTTTTTTTGGCTCTGTTAGTTTGTAATCTTTATAGTAGTCTAAGGCTTGGGGGGAGAATTGCAATATAGACCTCTGTGGTGGGGGAATTCCCTCATAACTGATGTCGAACTTGCACGGAATGCACGGTGTTTTAATTGTAGTGCATTACAACCAGCTGTGCGGTCCAACGACAACCAAACAACATTGGCACAAGGTGGAAATAAATTCCATAGATACCGAATTACTAGGAACATCAGAATTAACCAACTACAAATAACCATGAGACTGTAGAGTCTTTATTAAAACACTATTAAATCATGGCAGCACAGTGCAGATTGCCTGGCCTAGACTACTATTCCTGTGAAACCCATAATGATGTCTAGGCAACACTGTGTATAACAGTAGGAAGAAAACATCCCACTCAATAAATCAATAAAAAAACCATTTATTATGCAGGGGAATAACATTATTATGCTGGAAAAATGTTTAGCCATTTATTATGCAGAGGTCCTAAACTTTGCATCTCATTGCTGCCCGAATTCACCGCCATCCTAAGATCATTGTCGCCAAGCTTTTTTCCGGCGAATGTATGCTTTGGTACGTACAACAATTGTTTCCCAGTGCCCATTAATTCGGACAACAATATGTTGTGCAAGTATCTCTAGCGCACCTTTCGGAGCTCATTCTGGTCCCCCTTCTGCAAGCCACAATCCCAATCCTTACACTTCTCGCCCATGTACACTTCCATGTGTCTCATTGTGTAAACCCCGCTGTCTTCTTTGTGTTTACAATCTCGCCACGACATCTGCATCCGTATAGCCCTCATATTGTCAACAATGGTTGACCGTAAACCCTACCCTTTGTTATGAAGATATGCTGATAGCATATCGAGCTGGCGGGGGATAACAAAACGTGAGTTCAGTACACCAATTTGAATAAAACACATCATATCTAGCCATACGATCAAGCTGTGCATCGTGGGTGAAAAAATAAAAACCAAATTAAAATACCAATGGAAAAAACAAAATGCAAAACAACGGCCAATCAAACCAGATATCACGATTGACCAACCCCCCACCCCCCACCATAACTCACAACAACATCACACCATATGCAGTCACGACTGCAGACACACACCCCCCCCCCCCCTGACCAAAAGCCCACCGTAGTAAGTTTCATTGCACATCAGTCAGATAAATCAACCAGTAATTAACGGCGACATAACACACTGATCTGGCACTGCAATCCGAACTGACCAACTATCCAATCAATACACTTACCAATTCCTGTCGGATGGAGCCATATCTATCCTTGTTTTTAGCAGCTACCGGGGAGTTGTAAATGATTTCAAACCTGTGCTTCCGCATGTTTACACACAGCACGTAATAGTGAGCTGCTTTCAGAATGGGGAAGAAAAAC